TTTAACAAATCAGACAATTTTTTTTTTTTGGAAGTCACTTTTTGAGGCGAAAATCCCTAGCAAATCGAAAGAATTTTCACCGCGAAAAACCCAAGCAAATCGAAAAAAATTCACTCTGAACCAAAAAGCCTAGGAAATTCAAAGAATTCTCCTCAATTTTCTACTTTGATGAGCTAAAAAAAAAAAGGTCTTCACTTTTAGAATCAAAAACCCTAGCAAATTCGAATAATTTTCGCGAAAAAAAATTTCTCATCCAAATCACAGGGGGGGTAAACCCCCCCCCCCCTTCGCACATTACTGCCTAACATATACAGATCAGTTTTTACTCTAGAGAATATGTTTGGATTTCAGTGTTATTTTATTGATAATAATACAAATAGACAAAAGTATTGCGAATATCCAGTATGACGTCGTAGTCAAAATGAAACAATGTCAACAAAGCACATAAACAACGCTTTTATCTGGCAAAATGAATGGTATTTCCACAACTATTTCCTGTTTGCGGTCGTTTGATTACATTGAGTGCGTGCTTGTGTGTTTGTCAAGTGTACTTTTTCTCCATTCATCTTTCGGCATCATTTGTTTATTATTATATCAACTGATGATGAAGTTTCCTTGAATGATGATGAAGTATAGGGATATAGGCTCTTCAATTGAATCAAATCAATATTGTTCATGAGAAATGATAGCAAAACTTTTTGATATATTTGTGGGTATGTTATTTTTTAAGAAATCCGTAATTGATTTGAAAAATACTTGCGTCAACATGTCATTTTTCCTAAAGATGTTTCACTTTTTTTTTATTGTTTTTTCTTTGTAAACTGCCAAATAAGCAATGGCATTCATTTTGCCTTCATTTTCATTTACATTACATCTACCATGCAATTAACTTTTAAATATTTCACAATTTTTAAGTCAATCAATAAAAAACGTTCGAACACAGATCTTTCGATTTTTATTTGTCTTTACAATATTGAATACAAACTTGAAAAAAGACAATATTCGGTTTATTCCTTGTACGTACAAAAAAATTCGATCGTCATATTAAACGACAATCTGCCAAATACATACGCAGGACAAAAAAAAATCACGATTCAATCATATTACAACAAATACGGGCAGATCTTGAAGGCTATATGCTTGGCTGTATTCAATGGAATCTCTTTATTCAAGAGAGAGAGAGAGAGAGAGAGAGAGAGAGAGAGAGAGAGAGAGAGA